TTGAAGTTTAACAGATTAGCAATTGTGATTTGAAATCAATATATTTGAATAAAATATCTTTAAATTACGGATCAGTCAAAATCAGGTATACAATGTAAAGAAAGTCCAAAGTTTTGCAACAACTTTCTATCCGTAATATTGGCAATATTCGAATATATTTACAATACATAAGATGTGAATGAATTTGCATGCATTTGGAAACAGATTGCACGAGATTCTGCGAACTTCTCCGCCACCTGAATAATTATTGTATTCCCAAATCCGTTTTATATTAAATTATGGAAATTTATTACCGATACAGCTGTCTGTGTGTTTGTATATACGAAACTTGGCTCGAATACTTTTTCTTCGTCTCTGTTTCTCTTTCTTCATTCTGCACACAATCCGGACAGTGTTAAAAGTCGGTTCTTTCTGGAAAAAAAAAACTTGCCTCGCGGGGGTGTCGATCGTCGTGGGAGGGTACGAAATAAAATTTAAATATTTATACGACCGTCGCGTCTCGGCAACGCACTTAACATACTTTCCGCTACATTCCGAATGTATTTAAACCCTGTGGTAATATACTTTGTAATACTAATTATGTTGGCCGGGAGCCGAGTTGTATCCTCCGGTGGATTAAATAATCAAGAGGGTGGAAAACTTCAGGTAGACTTTCTCGTTTCGCTTCGAAATTTCCAGAATGTTCATGCACAAAAAATAAATAAAATTTAATTGTTTTTTTTCATTCCTTAAATAATTATAACTATTTTAATAATCATGAATTCAAATTTAATAACATTTGACACAACACCTCCCAAAATTATAAATATTTTATTACAAAATACTCATACATTTTTATGTCTTCAATTATAATTACTAAAAATATCGTATCTTGACATAGCATCTGCCTTCTTTTTTTATTATTATACAAGTCTCATTGATTTTCAACCCTTCAATAATTATAACTATTTTAGTAATCATGAACTCAAGTTTATTAAAATTTTTGTAACTTGACACAACACCTCCCTTTTTGAATTTGATATTACAAAAACTCATTAATTTTCATCCCTTAATAAAATTTACTAAAATTCACAACTTGGCAAAAGTTTAGCAGAAAAATTAGTTTTACCTAAAAATACAAAAATTAATACAATAACTTTGGATAAATAAATAAATTTAACAAAATCAACAATTTTACTATTATTACTGAAACCATTTCATACTACATCGTTTTGTAATTAAAAACATGCAGATTAAATGGTTCTAAAATTTAATAAAATTGCTTTTCGAAACAATAAAATAAAACAAACGTGCTCTGTAAATTGCCTAAGCTATTAAATTATAATAACCCGTCCATAATTCCAGATTACTTCCGGCGTACGATTTTATCGCTTTGGCAGAATGTATTTGCGGCAAAAGGGCATTAAAAATGCACGTACTCTGCGCTAGGAAACACGCTATAAATATATATATAGATAGAGAAAAACGGCATTAAATTATTATTTTAACCAAAACAATGTTTAAATAAATAAATATAATATCAAAAAAAAATAATGTAAAAGACCAAAAAATGTGCAATGATTTATTGCTTGCGGTGTGGAATAATTCGGCCGTCTACTTCAATTATAAATCCCTTTGTGTTCGTGGTCAAAATTTTAAATAAACCACGAAACCAACTACAAAAATAAAACTCTCATCAATTACACCCAAATGAATCTACGTGAAAAAAATTGTTATATACTTTTGTATTATATATTTTTTGTTTCGATCTGTGCTATTACAGTTTCGATTTGTGATTTTGGAATGAGGATTTCACACGAATCGTTACTCAATAGTTTGAATTCAATATTTTTTTTTGTATTAGTTTAATTTCGTGTTTTCATTACCAGTTTGTATTTGAAATATATATTTATAGTGAAACCTCGCATAACGAGTTTAATTCATTCCAAAATTTCTGGATTTATAGTGAAACATATTCAAAAATACACATATAATTTGTGTACACAAGTGTACTCATCGTCAGTCGTTATTCGAAACGTCGCTCGTTAAGCGAGTCATTTTTCTTACAATTCATTTTGTTCGTTAAGCGAGGTTCTACTGTATTTTAGTAAAATAAATCTTGAATGATTCTGTTACGTTTTGACACAACACCTCCTTTTATTTATTTTACATTATTATTTCGATCTGCATAGTTTTACCAATGATTTAACACAGATCGTTGCGTAATACAATAGTTTCCAAATTATAGTAAAGATAATTATGTGTGTATGGATGTGATCTCTGGCGTGAGCAGACGTTTATCGGTGGACCAGTTTCACACCCTCGCAACTAATGGGCTAATCCTGGTTCTGGGCCGGTGAGTTTGCAGGGTTTGCTGGGATTCCGGCCCTTTCATATGCCATCCCTCCCCCATTCGTGCATTCCTGGATCAGCGTTATATCAAAGCCCGGAGATATTGTGCTGAATGTCAATCATTCCGATGCCAGAAATGCGTCGCATCGCGCACCGATTGTTAATTAAAGCCACGCCATCAAATTAATACACGATTTTTCAGCAGATGTGTTTTTCAGCAGTATTATTATTATTTTGTTTTGTTTCATTTCTGGTTTCGTTCCATGAAATCCGTCAACGGATATTCACATTTACTTGAATAGTGATTAATCATTGTACAAAAACAAAAAAAATGAACAGTACGTCATCAAATTTGTATGAAAATCAATTGTCCATTATTAATTAATATTTTTTTCAGACAATTTTTCAGCTGATTTTGCATATACAAAAATTAATATTTTATATTATCACTATAAAATATATGCTTTTCATATATTTCATGAATTAAAATTTACTAACATTTCTGTAATTTGACACAACACCTCCCTTTTTAATTTTATATTATTATAACAAACTCATTGACTTTCATCTCATAAAATATTATAATTATTCGAATATTATTGAAATTTAGATATTTAGATTTACTTTAATTATTTATTTCATTAACTTTGTATGAAAAACGCTGCATTTACATTAAAAATTGTTATAAAACTTACAAACTGGATAGCTTAAATTAAGTCAATTTGCAGGTATTCTTTAACAATCTTTTGATGAATTCTACTTATTTAATTATAAGTTAGAAAAAAAGTTTTTTTTCGAATAAATTTCTGTTTGGATTGTAAATAAAAAGATGGAAGTAATAAAAATAGATCTTAATGGTCGAGTAGGCTATAAAAATAAATAAAAGTAATAGTGTTTTCTTAAGTTTGTTTGTAACTAATTAATGTTTTCCACAGGGAAACATATAATGTTCCCAATGAATGAAATTATGTAGCCGGTCGGAGGCAGAAATTCGTGAAACGTAAAGATTTAGTTATTCCGGAGCACATATATCCCCAGGATCAATTGGCTTCAATCCCAAGGACTATAAACTTCCCAAGTATTCCCATTTGTATTTTTTCTTTCTATTTTTTTTGGGTGGAGTCGCCGAGTAGGTGGTAGATCGGATGGGACGTGGTCTGCCTACGAACGGATGCTCCACTTTATCCGAAACTCGTCTAAGTAGGAGAAACAAGCATTTTTCAATCTTCGGAATGAATGAATGAAGAACGGTGCCGAAGTTGTTTGTTCTCTGGCTCGGTGTCACGTTCATCATTCACGAAAGTGCGCGCAGTTAATCTTAAACTAAGGTAAGTGCAGCTTTGAAAAATTACGGCCGTTCCGAGACCGGAAACGGAAGCGGAAGAAGATGAATGGCGCGTGCGGTTTTCGGATATAAGTGGAATTTGATAAATTCCATTGAGCGCGCGCGGACCTTGCCTAGTGTGTGCCTGTATAATAATGGTTTTTAGGGACGAGAAGTTTCTGCGGCTGCTGCAACTAAATTACAATGCGCTTTCAGCTGCATTGGCGCACTCTGAAATACTTTTTCAAAGTATAGTTTTCCCATTCTTTTTCTCATTTAATGGAGACGGATGGAAGGAAAGATTTCGTATAATGCACAGAGTTTCTTGCAGATACTTCATCATTTTTCTATACAACCTCTTATATTACTGCAATTTTTAACGGTTATTTATAATGATACTTGAAGAAAAACACAAAGTAACACTTCAAATTTTCGAAATTTTTACAATAAATAATTCCATGATTAATTGCAAGAAATCCCCAAAACCTTTCATTATAACATGAAGCTCATTAGAAAGCGTATATATTTATCTTTAATTTAAGTATTAAATGATATTTGTGACGCAAATATTAATTGAGAAAAACAATAAAGAATTTTAGAAACTTCAATTATTTTTTTTGCAAATTTGACAATTGCAGCAATGTGGTAAATCGGTAATAACTGTATATAATGTCTTATCTTATATAATTATCTGTAATTTCAATAATTAAGGATATTTGTGACAAAGAAAAATGAGAAAACCTAAACGAAAATATTTTTTAAAATTTTCACAATCAATTAAAGAAAATTTGTTACACCTGCAAATATACCTAATAACTTGCTAAAAAAAATATTTATTTGCAATTCTGCTATTAAATGATAATTATGTCAGCAAAGCTAACCAAAATAATAAAACCTGAGATATTTTCAAAGATGAACTTGTTTCCAAATTTTACAGTTAATTATCGGAAATGAGTAAGAACTATATATCTTAGATAATTTATTTGAAAGCTTATATAATTATCTTTAATTTGAGTATTAAACTATATTTGTGACGGCTACAGTGAATGAAAAAAAAAACAATTAATTCGATGAAATTCGTAATAGTCAGAAACTAATCAGGCGGCTTTAAATAAATGTAAACAAAGTGTTCCGGAAGTGCAGCAGTAAGTGGCGTTTCCGTTTGTGTTTTATATTATTTGAAACGATCTGTTTATCCTTGTTCCCAAAGTGTACGTTCATGCTGGTAACAGGCTACACACAGCCCTTCGGATTTCCCCCCAAATCCCGGCGGCGGATTAACAGGCCGTGACGTCGCGATGCCCCCCAAGGGCTGGATGGGAACCATTCAACGGGATCTCAAGCGTTACTTCCGGTACAGGTGATTCCGTTTAACGAAGCGAATCGCACGATCGTCCGTACATCCGATAAAAACACTCGAGACGTCCGAGCAATTTGATTGCAAAACTCCTTGTTCAACACAAGAGCAAGGACGAAGGAAACCTAAAGTACAGACAGACATTCGCATATCTCATTAATGCAAGTAGCGAAGCAAAATCGAATCCGATCTGCAGTGAATTGAATAAAAATTATGCGACGAACTTAATTTCGTCTATAACTTCCTTTGGAGTTTCCGGAAGTTTTCGGTTTTAAATGTACCGCTAACAATTACATTCGTTCAGTTTACGATACGTTTTTATGGGGGAAACTTCTAGGAGATGCCAGGAAGGTAATTCGGTTAGGTGATTCACAGTCCGCAATCCTCTTCACGCGACGACCAATTACTTACCACTACCACCAGCATCGCGCCATTCCAGCTTGATTAATAATGCACTAAGGTATTATTCAGGTATTAAGTAATGATAAGGTAAGTGCGAATAAAGCATTCGTCTTCTTTAACTTACTTTAAATTTTGCTCAAACTACTTCTAACACACAAAAAAAAGTTTCAGAACGTAAATTTTGTTTTATCTGGACACGGCATGATGTATCGAATGCAATTTTCCCTCGAGGAACATACGCATTTCAAATATGAGGAAAATACTTAGTATTAAAATTATATTTATGTATTTGTAACTTATTTTACTCTGCTTTACCTAAACCTAGCAATACTATTCGAGAATCCAACAGTAGCATTTGAATATCTAAAGGAAATTTAGATAAGCTACAGCAGCGGTTACCCCCCCCCCATTCTGAAAAGAAAACAATCAATGTAAATTTTAAATAAATATTATTATTGAATTAATTTACATTTACATATTTATAAAAAAAGTTACATGAAAATTGTAACAAATAGTAATAGACAAACAAAATAAAATTCTTAAATTGGAACAAACAAAAATTAATTGAAAACTTTCCCCCTTCAGGTTTTGGAAAAATGTTGTTGCTTCATGTTTGATATAATTACTTTAAAATTGGGTCTTTTTGATGTAAGAGCAATTTGAATACAGTTTAATAGATTTCTGTTTTTCGTTTTTATGTTTTCTGGAAAACTCTTGTTCACTAAGGTAGGTTGTTGCAAATGGCAGCAATTTTTTTAACAAAAAGACGACAGATTTGCTTTGGTCTCAAATTGAATA